ATCTAAGACATTTCAGAGCTAAAGATACTACATTCTAAAATCTCCTTCTGCAAATACCTTTCTCAAAGGATCCTTTGAAGTGGAATGTTCATCTCCAGCAAGAAGTGTATCCAGAGAGCAAGATACTAATTCCCCAAAGCAAGGTAAGTCTCTGACCCATCACTGCCTATGCTGCAGCAGTTTTTTAAAAAGCAGTTTAAAATATTGCTAAGAGCTCCCCTTACTGGTCTGCCTCCAAATTATTCAGTCTTTCCATCCTGAGAATCTTTTTATAGGAAATAAACATGGGTAAAATACTACTTGTATTCCACAATTCTTCATTAAAAAAGGGAAGAAAAAAAAATACTCTATTTTTAAGATGTCTTATTAGTTGTTAAATCACAAGACCAAAGATAATGACCTAGTTTAGGAAGAATTTATTCTTCCATCATGAACTTCACCAACTTATTGAACCCTTAAGTCTGTGAAGTACATGTAAGACTTGCCAAAGCCTGAATTACAAAACAAACATTGACACCCAATTCTGGAAGACTGAGTAATAACTCATTTCACAGTAACTACCATCAGCTTTAATGGGATCACTTGTGGGATAATCAACAAGTCAATTTGGCAAAAGGATCAGAATCTGCTGTGGAACTGGGAACTAAAAAAGATTTATTATGAAATCTTACTGTTTCTTCAGTGGCCTACTGCCTGGTTGGGAGACAAAATATACCCCTCAACCTGTGTTGGTTTATATGATTAAAGACTTGATTTTATAGAAAGAGATATATACACAATATATATAAATAATATATAAAATACAAAAAGTATATATATAACATTTTTTATATATGGTTTTTACAGCCCTACTTTTGCAAGCTCAGCCTAGGGGCTGACTAAAATTGGACACTTTTATGGTGTTAAAAGGTTAAAATAAGTAATTCTAACAACACAATGAAATACCATTATCTTAAATTCACAGTAAAAAATCCTGTTAATGTATAAAATACATGTTCTTTAGTTTGTTATTGAATACTTGAGATGGCCCTGAAGAGGTAACTTGAGTAAGAATAAATAGGCAAACCTGTTGTTATGCCATGTTAAAAAAAATATAGACAAAAGAAATAGAAAGAATGGAAGATATGCTTTTGAATACACTCTGCAATCATGGAAAGACTGTGAAATAGGATTTCATGTACAGCACTTGGAGAAGCTTTTGTATAGCACCTCACACTAGTCCTATAGCTCTCAGCACTGTGCTATAGAACAAAAGCCAAACTACCATTATAAGCACATTAAATTTCTAAACAAATAAACTTATTCTATCATTCTACATTCCAAATGGATTTAGGTGCCTGCCTTTTTATGAAACATGAGTAGGTTAGCTACAAAGTCAAGTCCACTCCATCTGGGTTCTCTCAGGTAAAATGGTGCAATTCCCTGAAGCATTCTCTATTTTCTTTCAATAGTTTTCTTTCTTAAGGCCACATCCATTCTCTCTGTTAATTGCTGGTTATTTCCTCCTTTACTGCACTGGACAATTATTCCTGGGCTAACTGCTGTACCAGAAAGAAGGGGACTTGCATTTGTAACTGACTAAGTAATTATAATCCCTCTCTGTACTGACTAACTCAGGGTAATCATCATGCTGCCAACTCCCACATTAAAACTACTCTCTGAATTAGCTTATCATACAATTTCTAAAAGTATCTAAATATGTGACAGCATTTAGGCTTATTTGCTTTTGTGGTACACTATGGTCATATTAAACAGCTTTCTTTGAAAACCATTAATAAGCAAACTTAAAAAATAATCTGAGGCTTGAACAAACAAACAAAAAACAAAACAAGCAAAACCAAACCCAAATCCAAAACCCCACAAAATAGCTAAATTTTCAATTAAAATTATTTACTATTGATTATTTTAATAGGAAGCTGCGTTTTCAGTTTCCACCCCTCTCTTTCCATTTAACCTTGATTGCAGTGTTCAAATTCTTACCTGCTTTAGATCTCTCATCCTTCTGTCAGATATTACTCTTTAGCTTCTGTATTTGTGTTAATTAAAGTGGCATTTTGGAGCCTGTTCAAAGTTACAGTAACTACCCAAGAGCAACTGTTTATATCACAAAACACAAACAAGTGAACTTGAAAGCCTTTTTAAATGTAAGTTGAATACCAAATAAGAAATTAAGTTAAAATAAGTGTCCTTTAGGTAATTATCCTACCATGCTCTTCCTCCTGTAGTTAAGATACTCTGAATTTGGACTGAAAGCAAAAAGCGAAGCACCAGCTCAACTCATAGCAGTGAAAGCCCATCAAGATAAAAATCTGCTGCTTCAACAAGATGCCATGAGGAGTCTGCCATTCAAGCTCTCTTTTTGCTGCTCAGGCAGGACCTGAGCAGAGTATACAGTCCCTGTGCCAGATAACAGCAAAAAACTGAACTTATTAGCTATGGATAGAAATGTTACATTAACATATAATAGTCCAAATACAGTGAAAGCTGATGTCCTCACCATATCAACTTCATTAGTGATACATGTATATATTTAAATAGATTTCCTTAATCTTTTATTCTCAAATGCTTCCAGCCTTTAATAAAGATACTCATAACACAATGTTTCATTCTAAGCTCTGCTTATCAATAATATTTCACACCTAAATGAAAGCCAGAGAAAACATTTAAAATCTGTAAGTGTAAATGTTAACTATCTCAGAGTGTCTTGATATTTTTAAAGCTAGTATCTGCTTTTCTCCCATCTGGGAAATACATATATATATGTATATATACACACACACACATATGTATGTAATTTAAAAAGCATAAAGCATGCAAGGTCCAGGATTACATACTTTCAAAAAAACCCACCAAAAACAAAAACCCCAAAACCAAAACACAAGCTACAAAGAACTCAGCTCCTTAGACCCCATAAGGTGATACCAATTTGCTTCTTTTATCTTTTGTTTATCCTTCCAGCTTAGAATCAGTCAGGCCTCCTTAGGTTGCAGGAGGGATGGAAGTCTAATTAAGCACAATTAACTATGAGAAAAAGACAAGAACTGCAAGAAATCTATCAGGGATTTAAAAGGAAAATCACAATAGAAGTGTAGCACTAGACATACTAAATAGAGGTAAGTTGCCCAGGCATAATTCTAACATGACTTTTCAGATGCTGCCATTTGAAAAGACAGGGAAGGATCAATTACCTTTCATCAAAATCTGGATGGGAAATAAAATAAGATCCCAAAGAAAGGATTCTAAATAATAAATTGCATGAAGCTATCATGCCATGTAAAGACTACTGATTATGCCTCAATTAAATAATCATCCAATAATCTTCCATAACAGTTAAGAGGTCCATGTTAGACCAATGCCAAGAAAAAGATAAGAAACAAGACACCATTACTAAAGATTTCAACTTTTTGTATCAAATGAAGATGCATAGCTGATTCTTGATCTATGTGACTAAGGAAGCTTCCACTTGTAAAAGGAAGACATGAAACAACTTGGACCAAACTCAATTGTTCTATACAGTCAAAGAGGAAGGGTACCAGAAGCTAAATTCTACAGGGCTATTTGCTCATCCCCATGAGCTTGAATATATGCAATTCAGCAGAACTTTGGATAGCTTTCTGATTAAGAACATCTAATGAAACTTTCTCCTTGAAACTTTCCTATTACTGGGGAAAACAAAAAACCCAAACAAGAAGAACAACCAACAAACCAAAGTCACAAACTAATCTGATATCCACTGGGCAAGGGAAAAAAAAGAAATGGTCTAGAGAGTCAGTAGGAAACCCTGTTCCTTATAAAAGTCTTTCCATTTACACTTGTTTTTCCCCAGAAAATAGGAACATAGCATCTATCTGATGTACATGAGCAGCTCTGAAAACCAAGCTTCCATGTGAAGTAATACCCTAGAAGTCTTGCGTATGTAAGTGATTAAAGATCAAATAAATTTGACTATTTTGAGTAGGAAGTAGGCTGAGAAAAGGTAGTATGTGTTATTCTGCTTGTTTCTGTAATCTGCATCTGCCATATTTGTAGACAGAAATCTTCACAGGTTCTATCATCATACACTAGCCAACTTACTAAAAAAGCCAGGGTCTGGGATAGTAAGGTACAAACACAGTGTAAAACAAAAGAAAAAAAAAAACCAAACCAACCAAAAAACCTATGAAAATATATGGCTTTCTCTTCACAGTAAAGTGCAATAGGGAATGCAGAACTAAGCTGAATTAAAAAACCCACATACAACAAAAACCCGACACCACCAGAAAAAATAAAATAAAATAATAAAAAAAAATCAAAACCAGCTTTCTTCACAGGTAGACCAAGCAAGTCTTTATTTCCCCTTCCTGATCACATATGGCTATTGTGACTAAGTATCAGCTTCAGTGTAAAAATAGAAGTAATTGTATCTAAAGGATTGGTCTCCCATTCTCCCATTTATTTTACCCCTTTAATTTGCTATTGTTGATATGCAAATAATTGTTTTAAAATTAAAATGCAATATTCTGGGTTAATGTTTTTTTTTGTCTCTACCTCCTCATATGTCCCCCTCCCCTCTAAACTCCTAGAGTCCCACCACCACTCTCCAAACCCAGAAGAGAACAGCGTAGCCTCAGAAATAGGCAAGTAGCATGGGGCATTTATAAAATGTTGGGAAGGAGGGGAGAACACAAAACAAAAAAACCAACAAAGCAAACAAACAGCTTTCACCAACTTTAAATTTGGTGTATAAACCCTACTAAGCTAAAGCACTATTCTGACCATGCCTCCATGTTATGGGAGATGTTCCATCACGCATAGAGTATACTTTAACAAACACCCTTTAAATTATTTCAGTCACACTATAATCAAATTGTATCAATTCCACAGGAACGTAACATGTCAGGGGTGTTCTTATAGCATTCCAGTACAGAAACACTAACTTTTGGGTCATACCACCTTGCAAGATAAAAAAATGGAAAAACACAGGGAGCATGCATCAAAAATTCTCTAGTCAAGTTCTCAAGTTTATGATTTTAAGGATTTTAATAAAGATAGCATGATTTTTTTCAAACTTATAAATACAATTGAAGAGTATGTCTATGAAAACAATCCATTTTCTAGAGTACCCACTCCCATGTGGAACTTAGTAACTACAGTGTATTTATTAAAACAGTAACAATCCAAGCTATTGAAATTCACTATTCCAAAACCTGCAGTAATCTCTTTTCCCTAGACTTTCTACTTCTGAGTAATAGGAAAAGAGTTCTGGTCCATTAACTCGCCCACTCTCTCCTGGAGGAAGTTAACCAACTCAGCTAATACAAAGACGTGAGTTTCATCCAGGTCTTGTATGATGAACTTCTTCCCCAATGCATTTGACTCATCCAAGTAGAGCAGAAACTGCTTCATTGCTGGGTCACTGTAGAGACAAACACAAGTCAGATCCCACCTCACTGTAGTAAGATAGAGCTCAAAACCAACAGAAAATAAACACCATTTGAAAACACTGACAAAGTTTGATGGGAAATCAATATTAACTTCAAGAGCTGCTTACAACTTAAAGTTTATGAAGCCTTTGAAAAAGTTGTTTATTTCACAATAGTAAATGCTTGGGTTACTTTAAACAGATAAATAAGAACATGCTGCTTGATTAGCAGACAGCATCCCTATGCTGATGTTTAAGTAGCTTAAAAAAAAAAAAACAACAAAAAAACTACAAAACCAATCAACCAACAACAAACCAAACCAACACTTAAATAAGGCAAGTTTGAACTTGTATTTTTATCTTCAGTAATAGAACCATAGAACCATGTTTTCTTAAAGCATATTTTTGTTTAAGAACAAACAAAACCCAGGTGAACACTGATCCCACTCAAAGTGGTACAGCATAGGGAAAAAATAGTAATGTATGTATGAATTGTACATTTATCACATAGTGACCAAACAGTCTTTTTTGTGATGTTACCTTCTAAGTTAAATTTACAAGTTTAGAAGAAAACATTTTGGAAGTACGGATATTGCAGGTAACTGAAACAGCTCAATTATACTAAGCAGCTAGTTAAAGTGGTTTCTTGATCCACTGAAATTTTGACGTGTTCTGGCAATACCATTCTGATATTCTCTTTTACAAACCAGGAAAAGCATGTTCTTTGGTAAAACTTAGTATTTGAATGCAACAACTAGTGAAGAATATGTGCAAGAAATACAAGAAATTGGAATCAGGTAGCTCTGGACACTTCAAAACTATGAACATAGTTGTTTTGGCAACACAGTAATTCTTAAAAAGCATTTTTAATAACATAAAAAACTTTAAAGAAATCCTCTTAAAATCCCTCCTTTTAAGCACAATATAAGGAATAATTCTCCCTTACTTAAAAGTATATATGGTGTAACTCAAAAAAACAACCTTTAACATTAGCCTCAAACCTGTAGAAGCATGACTAGAGTAAGGTGAGTTTTCAAAGTACAAGGTAATTTCAAGGAAAGGTGAATGGGAAAGTTAGCAAGCTATATCTTCTTTAGAACAGATATTTATGTAGTCTGGTATTTAAGAAGATAAACTAAAGAACTGAGAAAAATCAGATACCAGAAGTACGTGATTCTCAGCATTCTGCTACATGCCCCTTTGGATGGGTGTAAGGAGGTTTAATTTTTTGCTTGTTTCATTCTGCTGTACCTCAGTGACTCACATCAGTAGTACTAGCTTTTGTCCTAGCTAGGTGGCATCCAGAGACTGTTTTTTCACACAATCAGCATACAGAGCTGTAATCCATACCTACGTCACTGTCACTGTAATCACTGTATGTCATAGCAGAAACACTGATCTCATTACAGTACTTGAAGATTACAATCCTTGATATGGTGCCTTCAGAAAAGCACCAACATGTAAAAATACCTGCACAACATTTCACTATTTTATTTTCATTATTTACACATTCAGAAGTAGGCTGGTTTGGTTTTTTTTGCACTGCCTGTCCATTTGATATCTTAAACACCCTCAGAAAACTGGGTTGTAAAAAACTTGTGTCTGAAGTGTAAAGAAGGGAACAGATTTATTGTAATTCTGCATCTTCTCTCCGGATGAAATTTTGTGCCAAATCATAGGCCACCCGTATGCAAAAGTGGGGAGAAAACAAAACCAAACCAAGAGCTAGGAAAACCACCTCAAAAGTCAGTTTCCCAGGGAGCTGTTGAAAACATCTGATGGCATAACAAATGCTATAGATTTGTTATCAGACAGAATGATTTAAGTTCCACACTAAGTGGTACATGGCCATGGAGCTGAATAAAAAAACTCAGATCTTTAAGTATGTGTAAAATAAACACATAAAGTATAAAACAAAACATTTTGCTAACATCTTGAGATTTTAGAACTTCTGAGCTCTGAGCATCTTTACACGATCAGTGGCAGGCAGGCAATTTTTTTGCACCTCAGAGGTTTATTAATGTACCAGCATGAAGCCAAACTTGAGTAGACAAGCTTTTTATTATAGCAGAGTTCTGAACTGCTCACACACAGCCATCAGACATCCAGACTTCAGGTGGCTAATGTCCAGTCAGCTCAGAATACAGATATTGCAAGATCACAGTTTTATGCAGGCAGATCACAAGAGGTTCAAGGTTCTTCTACTTGCAATTACAAGTGTACAGCAGAAATGTTACATAATGCTATGCAACGATTCTACAAATCCTGTTTCTTTCTACTTTGAAGGTAACTAGTTATCCAATTGTTAGTAATGTTTACTGCATATGCATGGAAAGCTTACTTTCACAAACTAAAAGAGTGTTCCTCTTTGAGTATCATCTACAAACAGGGCCCCATATCAGCCTTGCTGGGATTTGGACTGGAGTTGATGAAAAAAAGACAGAAAAGGATAAAAAATTATCCCTTCTCCTTCTAGAGCCAGTAAAGAAACACATTGCTCATTAACAGCAACACAAACCCACACACATTATTTGTAAGCAGTATAATGAACAAGAGGGTACATCTAATGGTTAAACATAAATGGAAACCAGTATCTTGAAAAGAAGAAAGGAGTTTAGAATTAGCATTACCTACAACTGCCTCTCCTTTCCCCCAAAGGCCTCACTTTTCTCATATGTGCTTACTCAGCATCACCCCTCTCACCATAACTCCTTTTTGTAGGCCTAGACTCTTAAGTTACATAGAGCATTTCCAGCTCTAAAGAAATAGGCAGACTTTGACACAACAAGAGACAGTAAGTGCTGTTACTAACCATTCAACCAGCACACCTTTCAGAACATTCACCATCTTCTCAGTTTTCTCACAAACGCTGAAAGGAAGAGGTGACAAGCACAGCTCTTGCTTTGGGCTTCACAGGTAAACAAGAGTAAATCTGAAAGCAAAGGAAACAACATCTTGGTTGAACTCAGCGATCGTTCACGACAAGTCACTTCCCCAGGACCTGAGCTGCCCGGCGACCACGCAAAGCGGCGGGGGCCTGGAGTGGCCGCGCCGGGACAGGCCGTGGTACCAGACCTAGCTCAGGCAGGACACTGAGCTGGGAAAATTAAAGGCCTTCCCCTTTTCCCCTCACCCCTAGAAGCAATACGGACACTTCTGTCCCTCGCCAACACCTCCAGCAGCTGGGGACAACCACCGGCAGCGGCCTTGCAGAACGCGGCCTGGGCGAAGGGAAGCAAGCCCCAACGCGCACCTAGGAAATGCCGGGGGCTTCTCCGAACTGGCAGATTCCACCGCTTCTCAAGGGAGTCAGTCGCTCCCGCCTGCCCTTCACCTACCGCTGCCGCTGCCACCGACCGCTTCCCTGACGACGGAAACTCCGCACTAACAGCCACCACCAACCGCCACCGTCATCACTATGCCATGCGCATGCGCAACCTTCCCCTCCGGGGCCTGCGCTCCCGGCAGCGCCTCCTCATTGGCCAGGCTGCCTGCAGCGTGCTGACGTCACGGGAGCGCGAGGGCGCCGCTGCCGGGCGCGGCGGGGAGAGGCAGAGGCGGAAGGTAGCGGCGGTGTTAGGCTGGTGGGCGGGGGGTTGGTAGTGGAGGTCGGCAGGGGGAGGGAGGGTGGCTGGAGGTGGGGAGCCAGGCTCTGGGGCGGGCCCCGGGTGGACTTTCAGCACCTCTGTCACCACCTGACCCGTTTACCGCAGGGGGTTTGCTTGCTTTCCTGGTTTAGTATTTATTACTATTTTCACGACCTCGGACTCGAAGTCCCTTCTGGCTCCGGCAGCCCGCAGCGGCGAGCGCGCCTGCTCTGCCCCTCCGCCTGGGCCTGCCAAGCGGCTCTGCCTGCCGCTCTCGAGGTAACAGCGGTGCCTCGGGCCTCGCCCTCGTGAGAGTGCAGAAGTGGGGACATGTGGTTTTACCCCTTTGGAAAGAGACACAGTTATTACCGCTTTGCTTCCTGTCCAGTTAGATGTGGTGTTGCCCAAATCTTTATTATTTTTAATATGTCCTGGTTGTGAAGCCCCAATCTTCATTATTTTTTAATACGCCCTAGTTGTGCAGCTGCAACTGCTCCACGCTGGGGTGGTTACAAACGTTGGCACCGCACAGACCTGTGTCAGAGTTTGTTGCTGGCTGCCTAGTTCAGGGATTGTGGCACTTGCTGTCACTGAGCTACATGTTTATTGTGGCTACATGTTGTGGTTAGGTAGAAGAATAAATGTTAGTACTGTGGTTCTGTGCGTAAAGATAGTAAAGCCATAGAGTTTGGAGGTGGGGGAGGTGTCTCCAGAGGGCTGATTATTAATGCCTTGGAAGTGTTTCTTAGTGTTATATACTCTATTGAAGTGACTGACAATGCATAAATACAATACTGAAGTAACAGAACCCGAAAAGTGTTCTTCTGTGATTGTGGCAGTGAATCATGGAATGGTTTGTGTTCGAAAGGATGTTAAAGATCATCAAATCAATGTAAATTCATTAATGCGGACACTGAAGTTTCACTTACAAAATATGAATTTCACGTTACTTCTGCAATCTATGCAAAACCAATTTTTGTGTATTTTGTGATTGTTAAAAATATTTAATATTTTTTTCTGGATTTTCGCATAATTCTTGTACTAAAAATACTGCACATTCTATCTACTAAGACTTGAGATTAAGTCTTCAGCAGATGTGATATGCAGAACTTGATTGCTGTTGTAGGTTGCCAAGCCAATTTGTTTATTTTCCTAGCTGAGGGAAGTTTTTGTCATTGAAATCAAATGTGAAAGCAGTAACTTTGGCTAGTATGTAAGATGGTAAATACACTTAAATGGTAGAAAGAGGAATTGGTGCTTTTGCCTGGCCAAAATTGCCTTGCTTTTCAGTGCTTGACTAATAAAACTGTACTTTCTTTGAACCTCACTGTGCAGAGGTTAACATACAGCCTTTATCATTGGTCTAAAGTGCATTGCTTCTTTATGGTGCTTCCTGAATAGTCCCACTTTTTCAAAGAGGCAAGGTAATACCTAAAATGTGTAAGAAAGATGCAGTGTGCTTCTCTTAGCTCATCTTCCTACCTGTAAAATGGGGAAAATTCAATGCCTTACATCATAGGTATGTCAGAAGAGTAAACCATTTCTGAAGAACTCAGGTACTACTTTCATGGAGATCACTGCTGTCAAGGAGATTCATGCTTGCATGCAGTTGCTTGTGCATTCAGAACTTGGGTATTCTACGATACAGTAGGTGGTTTTGATGACTGGAAAAAAAATACAGTTTGATTTCAACATTCAGTGAATACAGTGCAATTAGTCTGTCAGTAATCTGTGTCTTCATAATGATGAATTACTAAAGTCTTAATTTTAGAAAAGGTTGTGTTCCTCATGGCCATGGCTAGGTTTCCATTCTTTTGCATGTGTAAGAATTTTTCTAAGACAAGAAGTGTCCTTTATGTTTTACCTGTAATCATGCCCTTTTGAGTTTCATGAGCCCATGGAGTCAGACATTTTAGAACCAGTATTTATTTTTATTAACTGTAGAGTTCTCACATTCTTAAAGTGTTAGTTGGATTTGCCCTTTTAAAGGAAAAAATATGTAGTAGTAATTCTTGGATCCTTGTTAGTTAAAATAAAAGACTTTCTTGCTAACAGAATCAGTTACAAACTTTGAAAGCATAAAGTTCATTACGGAGTTGTATTAAAGTCATGTCATAATGAAGAATGTCTTGATGGACATATGACTGTATCTGGTATTTAAGGGAGAGTTATGAAGAAGTAGGAAAGGAAGCTGACAAGAAGGGAAGTTAATAAGAGATACATTCTAAAATCAGGAGTAAAACATAATTGTGTCAGACACTGCTTTAAATTTTTATTGTAATTGAAGCCTATTAAGTTAAGGAGTTCATAGACTTATTTAATTAGAACACTTTATATAGAGTTAAATGACACAAATATGGTTTATTATGACCTTTGCAATCATGACCTTTGTGCTAAAAGGACAGGGGAAAAAAACTGCTACAGGTTTTCTGCTGTAATCCTCAAATCAATCATTGCTTTCTCTCTTTTTGTTTGTTTGTTGGTTGGTTTTTTGGTGTTTGTTTTGTTTGTTTGTTTTGTTTGTTTGTTTTGTTTTTTTCAACACAGAGAATGTCAGTGTCTGCTTACTGTATATTTTGCTATAGACAAATAGGAACTATAGGAACTCCTGGTCCAGCCACAAAAACACACCTACCCTGGCATGATATCAGTAAGTACAGTTCTGTATGTATTCATCTGAGGTGTTAATAAAAAGGAAAAAACTGTGTTGATATGAACCCATGCATAATTAAATGCTACTAAAGATCTAAATCCCTAAATACTTTGTGATCCGGGGATTTTTTTGGCCTGAAGTGGGTGTCTGCCTCTGACCTTGCTTTGCATAATGATATGTAAAATTGACAGTAGAAGATTATCTGGAATTAGAACACAAGATGAAGGTCCCCTCTCTAAATGCAGTCTCCATTTTATATTTTTTTTTTTTTTATAACTGTTAGAGCCATGAAAAGATTACATTCATGAACTATTAATAAGGTTGCAATAAAGTTTGTTCCTATTGTTTCTTTCTCCTTATTTACTGGTATTAATTCTGCAGTCTTTCCTACTTAGTGTCTGCTTTCTTCGGTGCCTTCTGTATAGGATGACAATTCTAATGGCTAAGGGGTTTTTTTCAGCATTAAAAGATGGAATATTTATTTTTCTGCTCTACAGGAAGCATTGCAATTTTTTGCCTTTTCAACTTTCTCTGCCAGTTATTTTTCAACATTTTCTGCCTCTTTTCTGCATGCAAAATTTTTACAGTATCACAAAGAACCTGGTGGCAGTGGTTGTGAGGCAAATCTCCCAGTTCATGCTGAGGAAAAGAAATTATTCATGATAGGTGAGATGGGTTCCACTGGGTTTGCTGCTACTAGTAATAATAGGGTTTCTCTGTACTGAAATCCTATAATCCAGGCAAAATACTCAGATCTGACAGGAATTGCTGGATTTAAAAGGGAAATTGTTGCAAATGGCATGTTTTTATTCAGCTGTTTGCTTTATATGTGAGATTCAGTGGAATTTTTTTTTTAAACCTATATTTTTAAAGAGGCTCTGTAGCACTTTTCAAAGAGCATACATGCTCCTGTATATATTCATATAAATTGAAGAAATATCCACCATTGTGTAACTCCTTAAAATGTTCTGAATGAATGCTAGTTGCACAGGCAGAGAAAGTTCACTGTTCATTCCTTCAGCTCAGCAATGAATATAATTAATTGATGGGTGGCAGTATTTAAAGTAAATAGTACTGGCAGGATACATGTTTTATCGTCTTGCTTAGGAGAGCAGGAAATTCTGATCAAGTACTGTTTTTCCTGTTTGTAAATTTAGGTAACAATTTTCTGAAAGCCAGAGAGCAATGGAAAAGTTTATAAAATCTTACTCTTAGTGACTGACATTCTTAGAGTCTGGTAATCAAATGCTAACTATATTTATATTGAGGTGATGGACACAACTTTGTGTTTTTTGTTTATTTTCAAGGAAAAATTGCAAAGGTAACTGGATCACTGATACTTGGGTAAGTTGTAACTGACAAGCATGCATGTAACTTATGAATTAAAATTTTAACTGTATTATGTGTATCTTTCAAAAACTGTAACAATGTTACAGGACCTTTAGACATAGCAGAATATAGCTTTGAAGCATATTTTCTGACAGTTACTACTTATTTTCATGTATTTTAGAGTCTTTACTTTGCTAAATTAATCTGTCAGCTATTACAACTTGGTAAAATCTGCATGATTAATACCAAAGTGATTGTTAACATGTTTTTACCCTAATATTTTTAAAATCAATGTTCATACACAGTTTTATTTTATTTAAAGTGGTTTTGTATTCATTACGTATGAAGTCCTGTCCTTAAAGAAGTTACTGCGAATCGATACTCAAGCTCTACATCAGGAAAAACTTAAGTCCTATATATATGTACATACAGCTTCTCTAAATCAAAGTGAATATCAAGGTAAGATTTATAATTGTTTGGATTCTAAAAATAGCATATTAAGAGAATAGAATGTTTATGTAAGTCACCCTTATATAAAGAAAATTATATTACCTGAGATCTGTTACAAAAATAGTGTTCTTCACAATGTCACCAAATTTATTTTAAACTGGTGCTGGGTTTTTAAGATAGCTGTATACATACAGTTCTCTGTATACTAGATACTTGTCGCTATGTGTGTCCATATGTGTATGTGTGTGTATATATTCTTTACATATATATATATAAGGAAAATAATGCAAGAAAACTGTCTTTCAGACTTCCAGTAATCCAAAAATTGTCTTGTAGGAATCACATATCAAGCCAGGAAAGAAATTCATAAAGCAGTGAGGAAAATTCTAGAAACAGAAGCTAAATTTTTCCGGAGACCCTTTAAAGGTAGGTATTGAAAGCA